TAGGGAAAGTATAATTATTGTAGATAAAGTGTGCACATACATGTAGGAAAGAGATAACATTGAACACATGCTTGGGAGTTGATACCTGAACACAAGCATTTCCCCTTCCCCTTCACTCTTGTAAATCTGTCTAAAATGACAATCTGGTTTTCAACCTATGCATCTATTACATCAGGAAAAACAGTGGAGGTGTTTGTGTAAGCACAAGTCTGACACCTGTACCAACATGGAAGTAGGCTATAATGCAGTTACAGTGAAGCAGCTACATAAGCATTTAAAAAAAAAGGAACATACTGGTACTATAGATGCACCTGTAGCCTCAGAAAAGCATGGTTCTAGTTTTACCATCAGTGGTGAAAATATGGATGTGCTCCCATAGGCACATTCCAGCAGTTCTCAGCTAGGTCATAGGAAGTAAACATGCTGGACTTCTGTTAGAACTTGGGTTTCATATCTTATTTCTAGCAGAGATCTTCCAAACCTGCCTGGACGCAGTCCTGTGCAACGTGCTCTAGGCGACCCTGTGTGTGCATGGAAGTTGGACTAGATGACCTCTAAAGGTCCCTTCCAACCTTAAGGATTCTATGAAACCTATTTTTGGTGAAGAAATAGAAGATAAAGCATGTATCTCTATTGGAATGCTGTATTTGGTTTCTACAGTTAGCCTCAGTGTTATCTTAGTAGCTGAATTGAGCTGTTCTTGAAATTTCATTTTGTGATGGGAAAGAAAATTTTAATTATTAACATGCAGTTTATTTCAAAAGTTTGAAATATATTTTGCATTTTAAGATTTTTCTCACCTACTGAGCACAGGCAGAAAGTATATGAATTAGCATGCTTTAAAAGCTAGCAAACTGTTTTGTCCATGAAAAATGTCCAAAGAAATCCAGATTTTTTGGTTCTATCTCCATTTGACTATTCTTACCCATTTGTTTTTGGTATCGATGTGCCTCATTTTGCAAACTAAAAACCCTTTATCTATTTCTTCAGTAATGCTTCTGCTATCATCTGGGCAGTGATTGATACCTATATTGCCAGAATTTGTCAGTATAATACACCAGGGCATGTATTACAAGAACCCAGCAACTTATTTTGATTTGGTGAATGCATCACACTGTCTGTTTTAAGGACATAGGACATAAACTAAGCAAGAAGGGGGAAGGGGAGTGTCACACAGACAGGGCAATCAGTACCACACAGCCAAGGTCAGATGGCATCCAGCAGGAGTATGGTAGTGGGGATGTGAGGATAGGATGTGATTATAGAGGGTCCTCTTTCACCCCTCCTGGGAAACCTGCAAGCTCCGTTACTTCCCTGAATTGCCTTTACACCAATGCACGAAGCATGGGGAACAAGCAGGACAAACTGGAGATCTGTGTGCAGTCCCAGCGTCATGATCTCATTGGAATCACAAAGACATGGTGGGATAGCTGACACGACTGGAGCGCTGCCATGGAAGGCTACGTGCTCTTTAGGAAGGACAGGCTGGGAAGGCGAGGTGGTGGAGTTGCTCTTTATGTGAGAGAGCAACTGGAATGCATGGAGCTCAACCTGGGAGTGGAGGATGAGCGAGTTGAGAGCTTGTGGGTAAGGATTAGAGGGCAGGCTAATGTGGGAGACACTGTGGTGGGTGTCTGCTACAGGCCACCTGACCAAGACGAGGAGGTTGATGAGGCCTTCTATAGGCAGCTGGATATTGCCTCA